AATATTAGTATGATAATGAAATATAATTTATTAATAAATACTAAATAAAGTAATGAGTAAAAAAAAAAAAAAGGTCTTCAAAATGCTAGGGACGCAGTTTTCAAATTGTTAAGTTGAGCTCCCCTACTTATTTTTGATCAATTCGAGCACTGGTATTATAAGCTGGTATTTTAAAACAAATTTGTTCCAGTAGCTCTGGGCAGATAATTTTATTATTTAATAGTTTGTATATAAATGTTAAATCAATAAATAGACGTCTTGATTCTAAGGTTGGGATTTGACATTTGATTGCAACATCATTGATTGATTTACCTACCATACCTATTTTGTGAGCTATCATTCGAAAGAAGCGTCTTTGAATTTTTTCTATTTTATTTTTGTGGTCGGCTTGAGTTGGGTTCCAAATAATAGAGCCGAATTCAAGTGTAGATCTAACAAGAGCTGTGTATAAGGTAATTAAACAATTGGGGTCGTTAAATTCAGAGCAATTTCTCTTTATAAATCCTAAATTCCGAATAGCTTTATTATATATTATGTTAATGTGTTCAGAAAAATTGTAATGTCTTCGACTAGATACGATTTGTGATATTTTGACGTATCGTTGAAAGAAATCCGTTTGGTGAGAGCTGAGAAAAAGTGTTAACAGACACAAAAAAAAAAAAAAACACATCATAGTAAAATTAATACCTTCTCAGCTTCGCATCGAAGCTAAAATATCTGAAAATAACGAAATTATAGAAATAAGTTCTGACAGTGAAGACATTATTAGATTATCGGATATCTTAAACGGTTAGTAAATAAAAAAAATTAAAATAATAACATCAAATAATAATTTTAACCATATAATTATTTTAGATGATACTGACGAATTTAGTGAGATGGAAGACGCAGATAATACTGATCAATCCGAGACATTCATTTTAATAAATGATATAATACCTATAAATAGTAAGTGTAAATGTTAAATATCGCATCGAAGCTAAAATATTCTTTTCTTGAGTAGTTTTTCGCGCTGATTTCAAGTCTGCAATTAGATTTTTTTCATCGCCACTAAATTTTGATATTACTAATAATTAGTTAAAAATAAGTATTAACATATAAACAAATAACCAAAAAAATATAAGTTAAATTGAAATTCAAAAACACTGTGTACTAAATCATAGGTTAAACTAGGCACGGAATATTTTTGAATACCATTATATTATAGAATATTATAGGATTTAAATATATGGAATATTGTTACATTTCAGTATAACTGTATTCAATTGTATTGTATTGTTGAATATTTTAATTATAGCATGACATGGTTATTAAAAATATTTTATTTTGGTGTTATGATTTAACTGCGCAATTCCGTATAAAAACAAAATTTTTATTGTTTTAATTTATTTACAAAAGCAAAACACAATTTTATACTCTTATTAATTTAAAGATATTTATTAAAAAAAATTTTTTTGTAGTGGCAATTTTACAGTATCATAATTTTGAGATTTAAAATGATAAAAAATTGGTGGATTATTCCAAAAGCTACATGATTACCTATTTCCTTATTTATATCCTGATTACAAGTTTTATGATTTATAAGTGTAATATATGAATAAATAAATAAATATATATATATATCATTTTCATTCTAACTCGTCCCCCTTATTATGATAGAAGGGTTACAGTGAAAATGACTTAAGTCAACGTTAATGATTTTTTAAGAGTCATTAGAAATATTTTTAATTTCATTATAACGAATGTAAGTGTAAATTTAAAAAATATAGTTAAAAATAAATTTCAACTTATCTTTTAACTTAGCTAGTCAGATTTATAATTTGTTAACTTTTAACTGTTAATTTATCGACATTGATCTTACTTAACTTAACTTGAGTTAATTATTTCCATTAACTTGATCATCTTTGACGATATGTCTCCTAGTAAAATTTTGTTGTTATCGTTGGTACCAAAGAAAGTATTGATTTGTAATATTTATCTTTAGGTCAAACTCATTTTACTTAAAAATTGACTTACACAACTTTCACTGCAACCCTTACAAATACTCTTTTATTTTACTTTGGGATAATTAACGTGGGATTGTTATTTATCACATATAATAAAATTAAAACTGAACATTTTTAAAAATATTTAAAGCACATTCATTTCTTAGGACATTCAGTTTATATAGATTACTTTATCCGTGTTATCATTACTCTATAAAACTATTAATGGAATAATTAAGTTATCTTGAGCGATGATAATATCTTAAAAACCTTTTGTTTGTGAGGTCGTTGCCCCAATTTCCACCTGTTCGCGCCTGCCCTTCCGACGCCTCCGGGTCTACCCTTTTACTTAATTTGGAACGGGTAGTAAATGTACTCATCTTGCCGCTTTACGATAGAATTTCTACCTAACCATGGGAAATACTAAGAAAATTGACCACTTTTTGGTTTTATTTGATATCATAGTTAATTATTTTATTATAACAATTCAGATGAATGATAAGTGGAAATAAGGTGACCGTGTGTTACCGAGTCGACAACGGCATTTCGGCCTGCGGCCGTAGTCAACGGCGATGTGTAAGAGCGAGCTAGTGTAGCAGCCAATGTTGTTGGTTACGTGTCAGCCACCATCCCCACCACCCAGTCGTCGACAACGGGTTTTGTTTTCTTTTTTTTTCATGTTATGTTGTATCGTTACGTACGGCCGCTTGCATATAATATACGTGTATAATATTGTATACAGGTATACTCGCTAGGCTGAAGACAATATTATTATTTTCCATGGCAGACGGCGAATAAGAGAGAGGGAGAGCTTGCTGGCCTAGTACACTACACTACGACCACAGAACACCGCAACAGTGTGCCAGCGAGGTTTATCACGGAAGGCGTTGGTATTGTGGTCGTCGTGTATCGAGTAGATTTATTTTGATTAAAGTTTTTTCACGAATGCGTTATCTGGTTCCATCTTCATTTTTCATATTTTTATTTATTAAATATTAATTACAACTTTGGTGTGTTTCTGTGATTTTCCTTTTAAAGTCAAATTTACATTCAAAAGTGATATCAAAGATTCAGCTATTATCGGTAGGTCAGTTTTTGTTTTTATTTCTTTTTTTTAAGTCGATCCATGTTACAAGTCGGCAAATAATTTTCTAAACAAAGCTTTTAAAGCACAGCTTTTGTTTATGTTTTGGGTGTCATACTGTAGACTTAAATAATTGAAATACTTTGAACTTCCCCTAATACCTTCCGAAACCGATGACCAATCTCTTACGCATGTTTCCGGAAACATTATCTCCGTGGGATGCCGGTGAGATTACGTTCCGAAACCATATGCTGTTTTCAGTTGTGCAGTGCGGGAGGTCAGGTGGGCAGAATACGATGGGGTTTCTTAATCACTTCCAAAAGGTTAAATAAAATTTAGGACCCCCAAAGTCGATCGTTTGTAATGTATACAGGTTATATACATCATTAAACTTGTCGTTTTATTTTTCGGATGAATTCAAACTTAATAGGTTCATTCAAAATAAATATAAATGCTATTAAACTTCTAAGATTATTATAACCATTCTTAAAAGAAAAAAAATATACTTGTAAAAGTAACAGTTTTTAATCTAAGAAATTCATTAAGGTGTAAATCATAGAGCATTACTTGATCACATAAATTCGTTATGTTTTTTTATTAACATAATATATTAATATACCTTACTTTCTGATTAATATATATTATATATTAATCAGTAAGGTATGGTTCCGGTCTGCCACGTCCGTGTTGCAGGATACCACATACTCATCGCATATATTAAATTATTTTGAATACTATACGTTCCAGTGGGTACCGGCTGCGTAACAAAGAATAAAAAAGCAAATAAATAACTTTCTACTGCAAACCACGTGTGGGCCAAAATAAAAAACACATTATTTCTCTCATGACAAAAGACACATTTTAGATGATGACAGGTCGTCGGTTTTCCTTAACTTATTGGATTCCCAAGTGGTATGTCAAAAGTTTTCAGTGTTTTTAGTAGTTTTTAGTTGGGGAATAGGAATTATTTTACATTCTAGTAAACACAGTATACACATTTCTTTTGATGTCACAATTTAATTATTACAGACATTTTTTTTTAAACAACTTTATAACACTGCCTTGTGTTAAATTAGACAAGTAATTTTTGTATGTATATTATGTATATTCAAATCTCATGAAAATGTTTTGTTAAACGTTAATCATGTTTTAATTATATCACACTTTACTGTGATAAAGTATTTTGATGCTAATGATTCATCGTTAGTAAACCTATCGTTGAATAACAGTGATAGTAGTTATAAGTTAAAGATTTATAACCATTACGTGAAATCATTTTAAAAGGACGAAATATTTACTATAAAATGGTCTTCCTTAAAAAATGAAAAATAATCCATAACTATTTAAGTACCTTAAACCAAATTAAAATTTACGATTCAATTGTTAATTGCGAGACCTCTGTGGGGTACGTTGAACGTGGAAATTATAATTTTTTCCCTGCCGTATTATTGTGTTCAAATAGATGATTTATGTATAACAATTACTCTTTAAAACTCAACCATTAAAATGTTATAGTAATTTTTACGTTTACATTAAATATCTTACAATAATTTCAAGCTTTTAAATTATTTTTAATAGGAACTACGAAAAAATGATACATATATCAACGAGCAAAAGACAAAAAAAAAAAATAAGCGACAATTTAACTATTTTTCAGAAAAACAAAAACATTGACTTATACTAAAAATTAAAAGTTACTATCTCATTACTAAATAATCGGAGCAACTAACGCTAATGTGATCGGAAACTTTACTTGTCGGGTATATCATAGTATACATCATGTCGTTTAACCCTTTTTGCTTTTTACCTATCGATATGTTTTTAAATTAACCACCACAAATTGGAACTTAATAAAATATCTTCTCTAACTCTGAAGTACATAAAAATTAAATTATAATACTTATATTATAAACTTATTATAAATAAGTTAATTATTTCTACTGAATGATTAATAAATCACGTTAATTAATTTTTTTAGCTTCGATGCGAAGCTGAGAAGGTATTAATTTTACCATGATGTGTTTATTTATTTATTTTTTTTTTCATTAAAGTTAAAAATTTTATATTTAGATTATTAATAGAGACTTCATTTTAAGGTTCTATGATGTGAATATGGTAAATAATTCAAACTTAAAGTCTTTACAATGAAGTTCATCTCATTTTTTAATAAAGCACGTTATTAAACAGTATACTGAACTGAGTTGTGATTCTTATACAAACATTTACGAAAGGAATTATATACCGATAGAAGTATGTAAACTTTAAAATTATAGCACGTGCCTACTATTTGCTAGGAAGAATGTTACAACTGATAATATTTAACTTGAGTGATAAATGCAACGGAATTGTTAATTTATTTTTATCATCGGTAATTTTTGACTACCGGACCAAATAAATACATTAGCAGTCTATTCATTTGAAACCGTTACGTTTGTCATGTTATATGGAAATCACTGCCATAGAATACGATTTGGTTAAGTAACCAAATAGATAATTTGGCGCAAATCATTTGTACACGGCAGTGGATGGCAGTTTATGTAACCAACTTAGTTCCGATTATTATATAGGATATATATATATAATATATTTTTTATAGAAGTTAGCTGTTGTTAAAGAGGGACAAAAGAGAGAAGGGGTTCTCGAGGTAACCGATTTCCACTTTGGCATAACGTAATGTAGGAACGGGTAATGCTTTTACTTTCTCAACATGAACTCCATTCTATTGAGTACATTTAGTTTGAACAACTTAAACACGTGCGAGTTGCAGCATTAATTATTGGTAGTAAGTACACTGTACTTATCAACACAACTTTTATCTCAATTAAACAATTAATATACACTTAATGAATAGGATTTGCATCTCTAAGATTGTATGTAGAAGTATGTGTAAACAAGCGTAATATAAATAGTATTTAACTGAATAATAATATAAATTATTATTAATATAATTAATATTAAATTTATGTAAATAATATAAATACGTGATATTTTTCTAGAAAAATAAAAAAATAAAAATAATTTATCATTAAAATGTTTGCTGTGATTTTTACACAAACAAATAACTGTTTTATGTCATTAAATGATTTTAAATTTAAAAATATGTTTAAAATTTCTGACTTAATGAACCGTTTATATGAATAGAAAATGCATGAAATCATGTTTTTCAGTTTAAAGAATGGTTACTTGACATACAACCTTTTGGTGACAGATTATACATCTAAATATTTAATTATCATTAACTTTAATATAAACATATAATTTAACTTTTGATAAAATAAAGTTAATCATTAAATATTACTTAAAATAAGGTAATAAAATTTAACTGCTTGATTTCGATGAAAAAAAAATAGAATATTTTTGGAAATGAACTTTTAACCATTTTTGCAGTAGAACTTCTTTTGAGTTATTAGTAGGAATTATACTACAAATTATTATATTTTTCCTGGGAAAGTGATAAATTATTTTTTTTTAAATATTTTTTAATGATTAAAATAAAATAATTATACTAACCATCTTTCTACAATCTTATTTATTTGCAATGTTTTCTTTAAACTCAATGCTTTTTTATGAGTCATAATATTATTGATGTTAGGTGTGATAAAACAATGTAACTATAATTTTATTTTATGCTAAAAAGCACGGACTCCTCCTATTACTTCAACACGAACTAGATTTTATTTATTGTTTTTAAATTATTTATTTTTCCGTATTAAAGATTATAACCAGTACAAATATGCGTTACTACTTTATTTCAATTTTATGATGTATTTCTAAAAGGCAAATAATAGCTTAAAGTCATTTGATTTTATGTAATTTCTTTTCTTTTATTGACAATTAATAATTAATTATGTATCATAATTCGTGTTTTATCGTAAGCTGCTATAATGTTGTGAAATGCCAATAGTATGTTTTCAGCTGGCTGTCTACGTGATAACACTAAAATTTAAAAAAAGGGAACTAACGAAAGAGTTCTATGAAAATATGATATCTGTAGTGTTATTATGATTGCAATTTTTTAACAAATGTAAAGGCTGCGTGTTAATTATTTTGAATTTTTTTTAATCTTGCCAAATTACTGTGATATAACTGGTTACAACCAATGGTTGTTTACTGAACACGATTTATTTTAATAACCTTGAAACTAAAAATATTTTCAACAACAAGGCGTAAACTGTAGTATAATGTATTGCGTTTCATTGTCCATGTTTGCAAACATATTTTTTTGCTTCTTTTTGTGCGTTTATTGAACGTAGAAAACTGTTGAACATTGAACTTTTATTTACATCTGAGTTTAATATTGTTTGACAATACAAATTCATAAATTTTAGAATACCATCGTGAAAAAGTGCTAGTTCTGCGACAACTATTATTATTACCAAATCTTAGCGTGGAATTATTAAGTGTAACTTAATTATTATTAAATATTGTAATTCTACTATACTATGCTTATTATAATGAATATTTTAAAGTTTTTACCTTCAAACCTTTTTTTTTTTTAATGTAAGTCCCAATTGTTATAAATATTTATAGTGAACATTACATTTGATAAAAATGACTACTGAAAGCAAACAATAATCATTACGTTGTTAGCACTCATATTTTATAATTAGTTTTTAAAAAACAATGTATGCATTCATTTTGAAATCCATTTATTATTTTTGTAACTTTTTAAGGACGTAACACGATTCTTGCAAGCCAATAGTTAATCTTAACGAGCATATTAAGTTATACGCATCATCAGTAGTGCAATAACAATAAAATAAATTTACATGAGTTCTCACTAATTGTTATTACGGTGATTTTTTAAATACCCATAACGGTTATTGTCAATTCATTATGCTTTTTTGTTGTTTAAATGATATTCGGAAATGACCTCATTACCTCATGTTTAGAACATCCAAAATGCTAACCATTTGTTGAAAATATATTTTATACAATTTTCGAGGTTTGTTTTGTTGATTCATATTATTGAATTCTAACAAATAAATCACACAAAAAACTTGTTAAAGATTTTAAAATTAAATTTTATCACGTAGAAAGTTAAGCAAAATTAAATTTAAACTCTTAAATTTAATAGATATTTTTTAAAGAGAATTTATGCTAAAGCTTTGCATCTTGTAAGTGTAGCTGTTTAAAACTACACTATTTGTGTACACAGTACCTATATTTGTTTGGTTCGTAGTTTTTATTCACAATCTGAATCGTTATAAGTACATTTTTGTGCCTATAACAATATGACGATATCCATTGCAATCTAAAAACTTTAATTTATCGTAATTATTGTACTCTTTGCATTTCTGTACATAGCGATAATTTTAATGTGGAGAAAATTCCGCCTCAGTAACCTTGACAATACGACGTAACTGCGTGTGACGATACACAAGAAATACGCCCTATATTTTTGCATCGTCCGATTATCTATTGCAATTCCAATTTTATTTTAGGTATTATGAATTATGTTTCTTTGATGTAGAGAATAATATAATTTATTATCAATAATGGACATTCTGATCGCCTTAACAAAAATGGAGGTTAATTATGGTCTCATATTGTAACATTATCATTATTTTTCTAGGAATTTATACAAACAAATTTGACAATTAAAAAACATCCATTTTACTAAAATGTTGAAGTCAAAAATGTTTATTGAAATCTAATATATTTCTATATATTTATTTTACATTATACAAGTATCTAATATTTAGGACGTATCGATTTTAATACTAATATATTTCATGTTAACCTCATTAAAAAGTATTATTTATGAAGAGATAAAGTAAAATAAACAATAAAAAATATGCTTTTAACAGTCTTAGAAGGCAACAATTATTAAAAAAAAAAAAGTTTCAACAAAATTATTATTGAATAAAAAATTGTCAGATCTGGTTCACTCTTATACTATTTCTATGTGATTACATTGATTATTCTATGCTTGTAGTATTTATTTATTCAGTAAATAGATTGAATTTTGTAACTATTATTATTATTATTATTATTATTATTATTATATATATACAGTGTTGTATGTTTAATTTTTCAGTTACATAAACGTATCTATTAAAAAATTTTTGTTATGAATCCATAAAAAAAAGTATTTAGTATGGTTTTTTTAGATGTATTTGTATTTATTATTAGTTTAAACTTAAATTTATTTTTTTTTTTACTAATATTTTATCGTTTAATTTATACTAATATTTATACTTAATTAAATTTGATTTCTGCTACCTCATATGTATCGTGAATCAATTTTTATTTTACACTTCACATTTATTGACGAAATTAAGTATAGAGAATCTTATATTTTAAATTAAAATAAATATCATTAACTGATAAATTGGTTTGTTAATTATAATGACGTCAATTATTAGATTGTTAAGATGATAAGTCCTAATAACAAATAATTTAATCAGGCTGACAAATGAACTTTTTGGATTATCAAATGAAATTTAATCTTGTCGAATTAACAAAAATTTCATGATCAGGTTAATGAAATGTTTGTCACTATGATGGAGTAACCTAAATAACAATAATTTAGTTTAGTCTATCAATAATTATTGGCGGCTGTATAGTAACAATAAAATTGTTGGTTTCACCATTTTATTTGTTGATTTTACCAAGGTTTTTGTTATAGTAATTAAAAATCTCATCTTATTAATTCATAATATTTAAACATATATTTAGTATCAGATCGTATATTAATATATTATCAAAATGTTTAATATTTTATTTAAAAAATCAATTTCGGTTCCATTCACTCAAAATTCTATACATTATCTTAGTAATCCTTTGTGTTGTACATTTTAATTCAAACAAATATTTTAAACGAATTTTGTAATGGAATCTTCAATTTTAATTCCTCTGTAAAAAATAACAACATCGTTTAAAAACATTTTAGTTACACTATGACCTTCGACATAATTATAATAGGTAACATTATTTTATTGTATTTATATGATTATAATTGTTCTTAAAGATGCTCAATGCTCCTCAACTTTGTTTTTGTAGAGTCTAAAAAATTGGTACAATTATTCGCTACCGTTTTGTGTGGGCTGAGGTTAACAAATAATTAGTCGCGTCCGTTAGATGATTTCATTTAAAACTCGAGGGTATTCTTAGTTGCATATTTATTAATTGTGCTAATAAATGTTACGTATAAGATCCATTGAGTGATATTTCTAGTAAAGACACAAAGTGAAATTATAAATTATTAGGTACAGACTCAACTTGTAAAAAATATACGTCAAAATAAAACGATTTTTTGTTCATTCTTACATTCAAATTTGCCAATTCGTGAGGGTGTAATGTATAGAAGTGTGTTTTGTTGACTTACAAAAACATAAATAATCACTTGTAAAAGTACAAAAATTAGTTAAAATATATGAATCATATGTTATAGTAATATTCATTGTAGTACCGTTATTAGTTTATTGTTTTTTCTACTAATGACTTCTGGATAGTGGTTTTGATTTTCAGGTAGCACTACAGCAATTAACAATTATATCATAATTTATTAAATTCCAATAATATCTTATAGATTTTTTCTTTTTTTTCTAGAAATATACTTGACGGTCAAAATTGTGATACTTAAGCGCCTTAGGAAAAATACGTATTTTTTCTTATTAAAATCAGTACACTACAAAACCTGTCACTTGATAAGTTTTTTTTTTTTTACATCTATTGGTTTGCAAACATATCAATATACTGCCGTGCTAAGCGAAAACAGGATAACTCCATTCAACATGATTTTTCAGGAACACAAAAAAATATTTTTAACAGTAAATCAAGATACCCTTTTTTCCCAATGTATGAACATAAGTCAAATATGGTAACTCCATTATTTTTTATGTGATATACCAAGTTTTTGCTTAGTATTTGGATTTACCGTGTTTTCGCTTACAAAACATCAAATATATTGAACTTACCGTATATTTTCTTATTTTATATTTCAATTTTAGATGGGTTTTAATGGGAAATATGCTACTTTTACATCAAAAATCGGTGTAAAACCATTAAATTTACCTATAGAAACAAAAAAAAATTTTTTTTTAATTTTGGAGTTATCCTGTTTTTGCTTAGCACGGCAGTATAGCTATCGAGTAGTGAAAATAAAACATAGACAATAATTAATATTTATATTTATTTTCAGTTATCCATTTAAAATAATTTGTCCTAATTTTCCATGTATGTAGAGAAAGAACTGGCCATGTTTGTTGAAAAGATAATGTGTTCATATAATTTTTTATCACAATTATGTAAAAGTTAAGATCATTTTTTTATAAAAATGTTATCACTTCACTGATAGAATTTTAAGGCCAAACATCAACGTCATTTTTAAAACCTAAATAAATAAATTCGAAGTATTCAGTTCTGCAATAGTTTCGTTATAAAATTGGAATTGTCGATATTTTATTTATGTTATTCAATAATATAATTTTCAGGATCTTGTATAGATAATTATTTTTGATAATATAACTTTTAAAACATTTTTCATTTTGTTTAGATTCTAATCTGACGACTTTTTCATTATCGATTACATTTTTGAAACAGTTTCAGTCTGTTTTGAAGAAGAAAGTAGTTAGTCAGTTTTTGAATTTGAAAAAATAACTTGTTGTTACTTGATTCAATAATATTTGCTTATTTCATAAAGGATATATACGGGCTGTTGTTTAACGGTTATCCATACTTATGGTAAATAATGATTATAAATACAATATATATAATTTTTTAATTTATAAACTTCTTTACTACATTTATTGTTACTATTGTTTTGTTAAAACTATACAAAATCATTACATGTTTATGATTAAAAAATTCACCTAAGTAAAGATTTTTCTCCTTAAAAGGAGGTACAAGTATTATAAAATATCAATTAAAACACAGAAAATAATTTAACATATATTTATAAATCAAACTTTGACTATCTAAGATATTATTAAATATTATACGGTTTTTACTAATAGATAATAACAATATTTTGAATTACACAGTGCTTATATTAATTGTTTAAAAATACATTAACACATGTAGGAGTCACAACGTTTAATAAATTTTAGCACGCAAATACAAAGTATAAATATTTTATAACCGTAGAAAAAAATGTTTCAAGACCACTCTCTATATTTTTTCTTCTTTTTATTCATCGTTATGAAAAAGTCCGTTAACTTTAAACTAGATTAATCTTTGATCTAAGGTGTTCTTTCCGTTATATTTTATGTTTAACATAGTCGCGACCTAATTCCTATTAACTTTCATTATTTTTCTCTGCATTATGTGTGTAATCATTTTTCGAGAAAAAATTTTAACTACATTGTAATAAAATATTTTAAGGTATTTATTTAAAGATCAACAAAACACGTTTTGTTGTACTGCAACAGAAAATAATAATAACTTTAATGTATATAAGTAAAATTCAATTTTATACAGAGTGATTAACTATGTAACACGTAATATCTTTAAAATTATAAAACTTTCAAGTATCCTATGTTCTATAATTTAAAAAAATGATCTTATCTTCTTTAAAAAAGAATTATTTTCGTTATCTAAGTTATGCTATTTTTAAAATTCTCTCTTAAAATATTAACGAGCATTACTATTAGCATGACAGTGTCTCAATATATTTTTATATATTAATGGAATCGAATTAGATATGAATCTAATACAAATATATTCGTTTAAATTTTTTAAAAAATATTTTTTTATCTGTTTAAAATTTTTTTACTTGCAAATAGGGTACCACGTATAAATTTTAATCTTAAATAAATATAATAAGATAAATTTTATCTTCAAATTATTTTTAAAAATCAAATTTGTAGTTTTTTTTTTTGTAATTTCATCGATTTTTCTCATAAACATTAGACTTATAAAACTGAATTTAGTGTATGTAATTCTTATTAAATTAATAAAATGGTTCCTCGTTACTATCACTGCCATACTTTCACCGGGACGACCTCCAGTTCAGTTGCAACAAATAATGTAATGGTATTCATTTTATCGTTTTAATGCTATTAATATGTATTCATAATATGAAATATATTCAATGCGATTAAATGTTTTACAATTTCAAGTACTTTAAAGTCATCGCTTGAGAATGACGAGATTTGAACGCAAAGTAGATGATTTTTCAATAGAATTTTTTTCAAGATTTATTTATTATACAGTTATAAGGAAATTTTTAGGTGTTAACGCCTTTTTATTCTTAGTATCTATCTTCTGGTATTTGCCAAAGACTTAAGTATTATAATTATTTAATCATTTATTTTTATATGTACTATCCCAGCACTAACGTATAAAAAAAAACGTTATATCTATTTGATTGTATAAGGAATTTAGCATTTTAAACATCATGCCAACAAAAGATGATGTTTTACGATTTTTCAATGCATTTAATTTAAATACCAAACAATCTAGACTAAGGAAGTGATCTATTATGTCGTACACCATAGTTTTGTTTATTTTATATGTATTTTCTTTAGTGTGATAAATAAACGAGGATTTGATAGATTCATTCGATGTGTTTATTCTTTGCTCTATAGCATAAATTTAACAAATGATAAACTAACGTCCTGCGTCATCAAAACACAAAAGAAAAAACATAATTTTGACGTAACAAGGCTATTTGAAGGATAAAAATCACCGTTAAATATTACAGTTCAGTATTTATATAGTTACTGTGCGTGGGCAGTGCATTTAAAAAATGAACCGAGGAAAATGTTTATGTATGTCGATTGTGTTTGTCTGAAAACTAGTTTGGTATAGCGCGATGATGTAAAAAAGAAGGCATGTATTATGTGTTAGCCGTAGGGATTGTAAAACAAAGAAAACATCCGAAAATATAATCGTTATCTGTTTAATAAATTGTATGTTAGGCCAAAACTATTACTCAGTTCTCACGGCTTTGACCAATGTAGTATTATAATAAATAAAGAAATACAAATGCCTAATACAATTTAATAATTTGCATTTATAAATCACCAAACTATAATTAAATAAAAAGTAAATATAAAAATTAATTAAAAAAAAATTTTTAGACAAAATTATTTTCAGTACCTCGGTAATTTTTTTTCTTATGCGTTTCACTAAAAATTATTTACGTTGCTATTAAAAATAAAAATATTTAGGTTTGCGTTACCTTTTATCATTTAACGGATGAAGCAAAATAAATAATGTAAATGTTAGCCTTAAAAATAATTAATGGACTGGGCTCGAGTATATTTTATTTTTATTTTTTAATGAAAAATATATTTTTTATGTTTGTTTTAAAAACTGAAAGTTATCTACTTCTATTATATTTATTTTTAATACTATATAAACGAGCGAAAGTTGATTTTGCAAGCAACATAAACATAATGTTTATGTTACTTTATTTTTAATTTTCGTATTGAATATGAAATGACAAAGTAATATTGTGTGGCATATGAAATTCTAAATTTTTGTACTGTAGAATTTAGTTAAATAATATCAAGTTCTTAGAAATATTCAAACAAAACAATTCTTAGTTATTTTTGAAACCATTTTTACTCGAATCAGCTAATGTATCAACTCAAATGAATTTTGTTGATTTCACAGGTAATTTTGCTTCAAACGTCGGTGACATGATGTACTTCAAATTGGTTGTAATACTAAGTACAAGTGTTGGCAAATTAACCGCGAGGCTGCAGATTGGAGGATCGGAAGTAGTCTGATGCATATTACTGTCTACGAATATTTTAACTTACAATATTAATACTATCATTGTGTAACCGGTGGCTGAGTAGTATACATGAGGTGGTCGAAGCAAAAGCAGGACACGGCCAAGGGTCGCAAACAGGAAACAACACCATGTATAGGCTTGGCGTAAAATGGCCGATCCAAACAAGAGTAAAGCGTTATATTCATCTGGCGTGGCATTCCTAGGGTTCGCGTGCTTTGCACTTGCCGCCACAGCCATTGGATTGCCACTATGGGGCTACTTTGAAAATCCTACAGGTTAGTACATCCAAAAGTATTTATATAATATAGATAAAATATATAAATATAATATAATGCAATATAGGTATAAATATTTAGTTTTAAATCGAACATAGATATTCACAATGATTTTAGTCAAATCCAAAAAATTTTAGTTAGACTTTTCAATAAAAATAACTTATTATTTTTGAACAGATTACATTAAAACATATTTTATTAGAATTTAACTCCCAAAGTAGTTAACATTATGTACATTACTTATAATCATAGAATGAATATCAAGTTACTTATATAATTGTATTTTATAAAGTACTGGCTTAACGTATATTTTAATTTCCATGATTGATCGACGTGCCAAGAAATATTAGGAATATTCTACAAAGTGATATATTTTTATAGATTTACACCTGACAAACACAATATGAAAATATGCCTATCTCCACAATTTCATTTTATTGGTAGAATAAATTCAGAATTTTATAGCTAATTAAATTAAGTCAACAGATAAAAATATATTAGTATAACAGGATAAAATTGCGATAAATCTTAATGGGACATAGTAAATTGGTTGTCTTAGTGTAATTAAAAATATCTATTAAAATTAGATATTATATATTAATATTAGAAAGCTTGGATTGGACAAATGTGTCCAGATTATTGCAAAGATTGTTTTTTATAATTGACGTAGATAGTCTACGTCAGTTAATCAATTTCATTTGAAATTTTATGCTTTGAACCTATTTTTATGGACAATAGTTATTGGCGTATTAAAATATTTTATGTTTTATTAATTTAACATTAATGTAATTTTTCTGGAAAGTTTTTAAAAATTAGCAAAATTAATGTTTTGTTAAACAATTTAAGTGTATGCATTATATTTATTATATTTTGTTTTTTTAATGTTTGAGACCTTTTTTGAAATTATTAATTTAAAACAATGAAGTCTAATAATTATTATAGCAAAACATTTTTGGTTTAATACATTAAACATTATTAATTAATCATTTGGGTATATTTATGCACAAAAGAAAAATACTGGTCATAGTATTGATGAGAATGTCCTCCTAAAGCACATTTTATCATATGTATTACATCAAATGTAATAGAGTTTATGTCACTAGTATTGAATCAAGGACATTTTCATATTAGGAGATACACATCAATATTTTATGCATTGGAACATACTAAGATTTTCATCGAAAAATTACTTACTTTTAGCTTCGATGCGAAGCTGAGAAGGTATTTGTTTTACTATGATGTGTTTTATTTTTTTTGTCTGTTACCACTTTTTCTCAGCTCTCACCGAACGGATTTCTTTCAATGATACGTCAAAAGATCACAAATCGTATCTAGTCGAAGACATTACCCTCAAAAATTGAAAAAAATTTCCCTCGTTCCCCGTAAGTGGGGGAAACCTCCAAAAAAAATACAAATTTAAAAATTTATTTTTCAAGTTTTAATTACATGTTCTTTTGTCTGTTTTTATTTCATTGATTTTGTTATTTATGTTAATACAACTTTTATTAGTAAGCATTTGTTTTTTTAAGTAAAACACCATTTCATTTTCTAGCATCAATTTTTTATTAGACAATAGTTCTAGTGAATGCACTAAAACATTTATTTCATTTTGCAATGATTTTTGTTCCTAAATATATTTAATAGATATTTTATAAGTTTAAGTTGATAGCACGCTGAAAATTCATTATTTATTATATTTAACAGAAAATGTTCACTTAAATTTTGTTCATCACTCAAATTATTTATTTGATTAGCATGATCATTAATTAATATTATTATGATAATTCTGCTGCATATTAATTTGTTGTTGTTTCACCTTATTAAGAGTATTCACAAGGTCTTCATTTTTTTAAAATTCATTCTGTGCACTTTGTAACTATTTACTTCCATTATAACAGTTAAGTTTTGATTTTTTGCTTTCCTATAAAAATAATAATAGTGTTGATATTTGTTTAACATATTTGTTGAATGCTGGTTAAAACTTCTTTCCAAAGTAAAGCAATTTTTGTATTATCTGTATTAACGGCATCAAGATCAATAGAGCTATCCATAACTATTTGATTTAAAATTTGTCTTTTATTAAATTTAGTCTTTGCTCGTTCTTCAAGCTCTTTAATACGGTCTTCTAAACGTATTATTTCTCGAATCAGAGAAATTAATAGTAGATTCTAATAAAAATAATAATATACAATATTATTTATTTCCGTACAGTTTTTTCAATAAATACTTTAAATAATTTAAAGAGTGCCTATTTTTATTGTTTATTTAATAATTCTTTTTTTGTGATGCCTAACATGAGATTCATTATGGTTACACAAAATAAATGTTAAAAATCGCTAATTTTCGAAATTTTTTCAATTTTTTTTACTTAAAATTGCCATAACTTTTTTAAAAATCAATATAAATTTTTTTTTTAATAAATGCATGATGTCCTTACCTATTATTTGGTATATTTTTTTCATACATTTCACCTTTTACCTGCCCACAGGAGGGGATTTAGAATGACAACTTTTTTAACTTAACTTTTAAAAGTGTTAGGTCTGAAGGTCTGACACTTCTATATAAATCTTAAATTAAATCTAATGTAATGTACTTTATTATGGAAGAAAAAAATTTGACCTCTGGACTTGTCTACGTGGTAAAAATGGCTACCGAATACTATTTTTGTGTGAAAATTCTCGATTTTATAATTTACATTTTTTACTTTAAAATGCTATAATTTTTAAAAAAATGTATGGATCAATACAATTTTTTCATGAGAAGTAGTATTTATATACATCTTTTATTCGACATACTTTTTTTTTAAATCAGACTATTTCCTTATATACGGGGGGGGCTCAAATCTGAAAAATGCATATAGAAAGTAGAACTTTTTCAACATAACTTTTGAAAGTGTTCCGAAAGATCTGACACTTTTATATATATCTTAAATTAAAGATGTAATGTACTTTATTATAAAAAAAAAAATTCAGACTTTATTTTGTCTTCACAGTGAAAATGGCTACCGAATGCTATTATTGTGTGAAAATTCTCGATTTTATTTTTTACATTTTTAACTTTATAATGCTATAACTTATTAAAAAGTGTATGGATCAACATAATTTTTTTATGAGAAATAATATTTTTTAATAATCCCTTTTTCATTCAACATACTTTATCTTAATCAGGATATTAATAAGGAACTAGCAGATCATGTAGCTTTAGGAATAATCCACCATTTTTTTAAAATTAAACACTATCTAAAGATTTGCATCGAAGCGTTTTTTTTTCATAGTGATTTTAATCACTGTCCGATATCATTATAATTGATCCAACTATGCCACGACCCCACTGTGCCGCCACTCCACTGTGCTTGGTTTTTTTTTTTTTAGCTGATAATAATTCAGTTTAAATACATTTCCTCCATATCCTATTTTCCTATCAGATTTTTTAAAAATAATTTTGGTTTATTCGAGCGTTTCATAATAAAAACGGGAAAACAATGACTATTGCGTGCTCACTGTCCATGTATTCATTACTATGGACATACATTGTGAGAAAATTTTATGAAAACATTGTTGACATAATAATAATTTATCTTGTTTAAATGCCCTTATCAGACTTATGGAGTACAATAACACTATGCATTGTACGACTTAACTCAATCTAAGTATTGAGGTATCAAAATAAAATCTAAATAATTTATTTTCCTTAACATTATTTACGTTGATATGTCATTGAAAGTTATTATTGCAGTTAGTCATAATGAGGCAAAAGTATGATTTTTTTTTTTTGCAAAACAAAATATAATTTGTGTAATAGCAGCTGAAGAGACGTTATTTGTCACATGACCAAGAATTATTCGGTGTGACATATCATATAGGAAAAAACAGTTTATTCACATGCACTCATTTCTATAAATGTTTAATATTATTTGATAGACTTTAAAACCATAGGTAAATTTAAAGCAAGAGCAGAAGTGTAGGCTACTATGTCACCTTTGCCATCATTGCTTCCACATATTATAATTTACTATGCCGCTATTATTATTACTCAAAGAGTATAATATTATTAATAACAATGCTAAGAAATCGTACAGTGCGATTTTTGCCTATTGTATAATTTTATATAATTTATGTTTATAACTAATATTTTTATGATTTATTCAAGTGTGATTATAAAATTATGGTATACTTCAATCAATGTAAAATATACTCAAATTAGGCGTAATACATTATCATTACTCTGGTACGTCACAGTTGGATTGAGGTACAATAACAATTAAAAATACTTCTTTACGTTATATACATTCATGAGACCGGAAGTCACACTAAGTATTACCATATCAGTGGGTGTTCAATTAATTAAAATAATTAATTTCTGACACATTTTTCAATTCTCGTTATAAAAGAAATTAAAATCATCTTACATAAATGGAAAGACTATATTTAAATTATTTATTAACCAAAAAAATAAAGCATTAAAAAAAAAAATAGTTATTATTTAATAACTTATTTTAAAAGTAATTGCTCTTATGCTTGTTAGTTAAAATTTCCTTATACTTGCCGTATACGTTTGAATTGCATGAAAAACAAGACAAAAGATAGAAAAATGTGCAGTTAAATTTATACTATAGTCATTTTGTTAAGTTTTAACTGAACACGTACCTGATGACATGCTTGGAATACAAATAACCCATTCATCTTCTTGTAAAAAATACGTAATAAGTGTTTAAAAACAACGCGTTAAAACGACAACATAACAAATACTTTTTAAAACTTTAGTTTATGTTTGTATTTTTTTATAAATATTTTTGTAAAGCATTTTAACTTATAATGCACAGAAATGATTATACGTCGAACAAATTATTTTATAAAAAAAAAGCTATTAATTTTAATTATAATTATCAAACTGCTTAAACTCTCTCTTAATATATTTTTTATTATTTATTTTTATCAATAGTTATTATTATTTTAGAACAATCAGATTATTAGACTAATTTTAGTACCTAAGACGTATTT